CATATTCTGTTGGCACATTTATTAATTGTTCCAAGTCTGTTTTAATTTACGATAATTCACTAATAAATGCAGTCATGTCAACAAAATCAAAAGTAACGGGTGGCAACTTGGAAAGTGTTTTTGCTATAAGAAGTGGCAACTGGTCTGGTTCATACTCCTTTATTAGCTTTATTATTTCCTGGATACTTTTCTCTTCTCCACCTACCTTTCTTCTTGTAACCCCTTTAGAAGGGGTCATAAGGTAATACACGAACTGCCTGGCTGTTTCAATTTCTTTACAAGAGTAGGTATTTGTACATATTTGAATAAGTCCTTTCTTATGCAGAACATCAACTTTGCCAGCAATAAATGCCATCAACTCAATTATTATCACATTACATGATGAGTACTTTAAACATTGATAGTTAGTTCCTTTATTTTTGTCGTTACTAATACATACGGCGGTGATCACAGTAGGAGGAGAACGTCATGCAACGCTCGAAGTGCACGAGGCCCGAGTCGAGACTGAACAGGGTTTCTTCGTCAGCTGATAGTGGACTTATTAGATCGTGCATTGCCGCAACTTTTTGATAGATACATTATTTAAAATGCGAAATTTTTTGTACCAGTTGCTATACGTTTCGTGCGTTATGGCATAGTTGTGGTCAACGTAGCCGTCTTAAGGAGGACAGTATTCGTCAAATATAGAAATAATTGTAAACTGTTGGTTTGGGCTTTCAAATCCTTAAGAAATTCATGAAAGGCCGTTGCATTCTGGCATAGTGACTATGCGATGCGGATTTTGGGCTAGGGGCTTAGGTGGCCAGGTATTTTAAAGAATGAGGTCGATGCTGCCTTAATTGTGAATTGGTGATGATCACTGGATAATAATAATTCGGGGTTTTTATCCGCAAGACCAACCCATTGGACCCTCAAGATTCGACCCAAATGCAAAAAGTGCCCATTGGACCTCTTTTTTGGTGTCCATTGGACCTTCTTAAAACATTTTATATTCAATGTGCCCATTGGACCTCATTTTAAGTGCCCATTGGACCTTCAAGATTATACAAGATTATGCCAGTTGGACCTTATTAACAGTTTTGTTAAGCACAGTACAGTCATGTAGAAAATTGAAGACAAAAATAAAATTAATAGTAGGTATTATAAAGCCACTAACTAAATACTGTATAAGTACTGACTCCAAACAGTAAGTAGTCCAAAATAAATTATAAAGAAATCAGGTTACCTTTTTTCTTCGAATTAACGATATTTCACCGTCCCGGAGAATAAAAAGATAACTATAAGTATAAAAATGTAAGTTTTCAGGAAAAATATAATAACTGTTTTGTTGTCTATTGCTCTATAAATACTGGACGCAGACAGATGATAATTTTTAACACATTTGGATTTTTTAGTAAGGTACTCGTACAATAAGATATAAGAGAGATATTTAGAAAATAAAAAGTGAATCAAAAGTAATCAAAATTTAATTTGTTTAATGTTTATTTTTATTTTATTCGTATTGACAAGGAGCCAAAACCAAATATTGCACTACTGACATGTATTTTTAATCTATGGTTTATAAGGGTGCAAGTGACAATGATAATACTTCAATATCTTTTTATTTTCGTAAATATTGTAAAACCCTTTTTTCTTTAAAGGACATTGGTGTCGATTCTGAAACGATTCTCTAAACCTAAACTTAAATTTGACAACAGTGTATCCTTGTCATTCTCTATACGGAATGAAAAGGAGAGATTGATATTAAATTTAGTTTTAAGTTTAGAGAATCACGCCAGAATCGACACCATTATATGTGTTTGTGCTTTAGGTTTAAAGGAATGATCATTAATTATATTAATTTTAAATTTAATTACATTAATGATCACTAATGTAAAAAGGTTTCACTCAATAGGGCGATTGTACACTGACCAATAAATACCCTTACAGCGCAACACCAAATCCACAAGACCTTTCAAATCGAACAAAGTTCGATTGATTCAAAGTTCCTTAAAACAGCGTGGATCTAGACAATCTAAGCAACATGACAGTGTATTTTGCAAAGACTTCATCTTTTGATCTAAGACTGAAATTCTGAGGGAGATTGAATGTTTTTATCGGCAGTGATACTCCTCTTAAGAACCTGATGAAAGGAAGGTTATAGATTCCAAGCCCAAGCAATCTCTGCGCTTAAACAAAAGGATGGCGCCGATCTCATATGTGGAAGAGAGAGAGAAATATTGCTGTCTCGTTCCGATTTATGACATATGTTGCAGCTAGAAAATAATCTTACAACCGTAGGCCATTGCTTAGAAAAATTACTCACATATGTGTCTTAAATATTTAATTTGGTAATTTATAATGTTTTACAAAAGAAGACTGTTAAGGTTGGTAGTGGGTCTTTCGGCAGACTCCAAGTTTTTATGAGATGCAGCGCACTTAATTGTGAATCGTTTGACAAAAAACTAGAATTTTATTTTATCCCGGTTTTTTATATTAAAATAACATAAATCTATCTAATAATTGATTTGCAAATGGCAAGTTTATTTGTCTATTTTTTGTTGCCAAGCATCAAATATATTATGTTCAATGTGTAACAAAAGCAGTGATAATAATTCTGATAATAATCCATGACTGGACTGATTGACATTTGCCATAGTGATTGAGTTAACGTTATAAGCCACCACGCACTAAAAATATGACGTTACTAAGATAGGGTGGCCAGCATACTTACAGAATTGTTTAATTATTAAACACGATTTTAAATTAATCGGTAATGAATAAAAAAATCAAAGTATCTATTCGTGTTATACAAACTTTCAAATTATATATATTTCGTTCCTGCCGGAAACCGATTACGCTTTTGAACTATATCCTTTAGTTAAAGTATGTTTTTATAATAAGCAATTTCTCGTTAATTGTAAAAATATGATTAGAAAACATTTGTTTATAAAAAGTAATATGAAAATATTACATTGGTATTTTATTTTATGAATATTTAGAATACATAATAATTGTGCTTCAATACTTAATCTGAGTGATATAAAAACTGTATGTATAATTTAGTTAGGATATCTGATAAAAAACATTTCTATTTAAAAGTAAAATAACAAAATCTATGATTTGATTATTATATTATATGGTTTGTTGCTGATGATTGATGTTTCGAATTTTATAAATATGTTCATTTTAAATACTTACATTTATAACCTTTGTGCTTTTATTTATTTTATCAATATTGAGAATATATAATAATTGTGCTTAATCTGTGTGATATAAAAAACCATATTTATAATTTAGTTAAGCTATTTAGTAAAAAAATAATTTCTATTAGCTTTAAAAGTGAAGTAAAAAATCTGTGATTTGATTATTGTATTTTATGTAAATATTTATATTGGTTTGTTACTGATGATTAGTGTTTTGAATTTTATAAATATGTTGATTAAATACTTAGATTTTATCCTTTGTGTTTTTATGTCTTTTACAATTTTACTTTACTACACAACTGTACTTTACCGTTCCAAAAGAATTAGCCAAATAGTTAAGAGCTCCAATAGCTCCCATTGTGTCGTTAAGTACGTCTTTGAGGGTCCAATGGGCACATGTTCTTGATAGGAGGTCGAACGGGCACTTTTTTGTAGGTAAGGTCCAATTAGGAGGGTCCAATGGGTACTAGACCAAAGAAATTGCTCTTAGGGACATTTGGTTTTTGGACATTCAACAGGGTAGCGTCACCAGTCATATTGCCAGAGAAACAGTTAATTCATGAAAGAAAAATTCAAGAGTTCCTATCTCAAGATTCAGGGATAAGCCATAGTCTCCAAGATCGTTAAATTTAATGCGCCTTGATTTTTTTTGGGGTTATGTAAAATCACTGGTGTTTGCGAACAATGCAAGAACTGTCGAAGATCTAAAAATCAACATAAAGAAGCGTCATCAACGAGATAGAGGAGCCATTATGTCAAAAAGTGATAAATATTGGACCTCTCATATTCAGACTATCATACCAAGCCAAGCCAAGAGGTGATAATTTAAGCGTATTCCATACAAAATGCCAAAGTGTAAGCTTCTAAAAAAGCAAATGTAATTGTAAACAATAAATATTCTTTTATTCGAACTACCTATTTAAACATACCTGGTTCTTATTGGAAATACCTATATTTGTTTTAATTAGGCACTTAGGAGCTTCGTCGTTAATTTCATGACTTTTAAAATTATCTATTAGGTATTGTTACATATTAATTATATCTCTATAACACTTGAATAATATCGTGACAAATTAAATGAAATGACAAATCTACTTAATTATATTTGTATATTTGTAATAATAATAAAAAAGTCGTTTTTTGCTAGAAACATAGTTTGTTTACATATTGAAATAAAAGTAGGTACGTCCAGCCCTTGAAGGGTCATGCAACATTCGTCAAAATTATTGTCAATTTTTCATTTCAATTATATAGAATATAGGATGATGATATTCTTAGGCTGGCTGGAGTGGGCTAGATGAGAGTAGCACAAAATCGGGAGCAGTGGCGTGCATTAGGGGAGACCTATGTCCAGCAGTGGACGAACATGGGTTGATGATGATGATGATGATATGCAATGCAATATAATTTATTAATTCATTATTTATAATTTTTATCATTAAAATCAACATTATGAAAAAATATCTATACTATTCATATTCAAATTTGATAGAGTTTGCCATAATGCATGTTTTTTTATCTTAAAAAGTAATGACAAGTAGTCAATGCTAAGTTAGTTTATATATTTTGGCATAAATGTAGCTTCCAATTAAAAAAATGTTCAAAAAGATTGATAAAAAAGACTAAACACAGGCTGTGATAGGATCTTAGAATACCAGTACAATTCACGAAAAAAAACTATAAGTCAGTAAATACGGAAATAGCCCCCTTTGAACAGACGCTCTTCAAATTTACTCATTTATGTGAAATAAGAGACTACACACTTAGAAGAGGACATTAATAATTAAACACACACACATTGTTTCTCACGAACAGTTTATTCAAAATCAGTCGTCGGCATTCAGTCATCTGTAAAAGCATCCGAGATCCATGTGCAAAAGTGTCCAAAAACTATCGACGTTGCCAGTCTATAATAATCTCATATAATTTATTAAGTACGTACTAAAGAATTTACAAATTATAATCAATAGCTTTTTTATTCAATTGTTTATAGAGTCCGTCGATCGTCATATCTCTCATCGATGAGATGACCGTAGGTGGTAGTGAAAATTTGATCCAAAATATCTTGTGGGATTGTGAAGTCCAGGCCAGTGGGGGTCGACGAGGGTGGGGTAACGGAAGGGGTCACCCAAGGGGTAAAGGGAGGGGTAACCGAAGGGGTAACCGAAGGAGTAACAGGAGGGGTTATGGTAGTAGGACTTTTTGTAGTTATATCCCCCCCGACTTCACAGCGGCTTCTTCTTGAAACTTGTATGTCTGAAAGTAGAAGATTAAACAGATGTACATAAAATATATTTGAAAATTTTGGCATTAAATATATCCTATTTATTAAGTATTTGTCCTTATAAACCTGCACAATAATTGGTTTGATACCTCATGTTTTAGTAACACATATTTGACTTCGTCTGTATAGACATTAATTAGAACCGTTTAGTGAAGTACAAAAATGCACTAAAAATATTGGTAATCTAACTACTCGTATATTTTCGCGACTTCAGTTCACCCTTACTTAACATCTGGTGGGGTGGAACCACTTGTTGGACCTATTCATTGGAAAAAAGTGATAATACTTCGGAATTCCCCAAATAAATAAATAACAAGTACCCTTGTAATTTTGAAATATATATACAGGATGTAAAAAAACTTTTAGCGCAGCCGAAGGCCACGTATATTCCACATCATGACGATTATTTTTTCTTCTGGACCATACCTGGGAAATTTATGGTTATGGAGTTATTGAAGGTCAAAGTCACAATTTTCTTTTTCAATATTTTTACAAAAACGTTATTTAGAAACGTTTTTATCGATGCACTTACACACACGCACACACATACACACAGGCACATTGTTTGCGTAGCGCCACAGTAATAGCGCGGCGCGCTATAAATTGCCTACAGGAAATAAAATTGTATTTATTTACTTAAAAATACAAATGTTTCCCACGTATATTATTTTGTAATATTACTTGTTTGGGTGTATAGAATGCGTAGTTTTAGTCTTTGTCATAGGTTTTTTTTACAACCTGTATACATATACATATTTATTGTTTATTTTATGCATATTTTTATTTCATTTTGGTTGATTGCAGATACATGAATGTTTATTAGACTTGTACCCAATTAGTGACTTTTCTCTGGTAAAATCAAGTTTTCATTCCTTTCGCCCGCTTTGTTTCATCACTTAGGATTGAAGACTATTTCGTCAATGTTTTTTTTCTTTGTTTTTATGTTTTCTTTTTGGTAACTAAAGTTTACTTATGTTATTTCAGCTGTGTACATTTTTGCTGGTCTTTGGCTATTTAATGTACCTTTATAAATAAAAAAATAAATAAAAAGAAAACTCATTTTAGGCTGACGTAAAATGTACTCAATAAAACGGTGAATGCGGATGGATATATTACTTTATACAAGATACAGGTATTCTTTAATAAGAATCTTGCTGCTATCTCATCTACATCACATATTATTATGGCATTAAGAAATAGGAATAAAAGTCATCATTCATTCATCATTATCTATCTGGATGGGGAACTCGGAAGATAGACTTCTTCTATTTTTGTCTATTTTATTTATCCAGCAAGTAAGGAAGTAGATATATATATATATATTTGGTTACGTCTCACGTCACAGACAGTGTTTTTAATGCATTTACTCAAAAAGTGGGGCTTCACGTAGCTGTAGGTATGTGGAAAGTACGTCATCCAATGCATTTTACATTTTACGTATCCAGATTTTTTTAACTACACCAAGCAGTACTTTTACGTAAGTTAAGTTTACTTCTTTTATTCACATAAGTTATGATGGTAACGGAAAACTTCATTTGATATGAAACGTTACAGTTAGATGTAGCATATAAAATCCTTGGTATTACCACAAAGTACGTAATTATACCTGGAGACAATTTCACTAGGAAAAAATCTACTTGCCCAGGTATTAAGTTGTGTGGTTTCTTCATGTCATTCAAATATGAAAAATTTGTGTCATATAGCATAGATTTGCATATAGAGAACAATTCTAACGATATTCCACTTTTAAAATTATGATTTTAATAAAGGATGGTTGATCTATTATATTATTTAATTGAAGTTACCATTCCTGATATAGGAACTTTCTTTGTACTAATTAATCTTTGTAATAACTTCACACAAAGTAGAATTTAATATAATCCTAATAAACCACAAAAACATATTATTGCCTTAACAATATTGTGCTATTAATAAATGATTTATTAAAGACACCACGCTATTATAAGATAAACTTTATAGATATTAAAATATTTTAGGCATTAGTATATACATTAAGATACAAAGAGATGATGTCTATTAGGTTGTGTAGTATTGTACACTCTATTACAATGCTGACATAACACCGAGTGATTATCTATCCATCCATGGCTTTATGAAGAAAAAAAAAACATGGTGGTAGCTGTAATATGAACAGAAAACTTGCAACATCTGAAATTTTCGTTGCAAACATATAAATGCAACAGACGTATAGTTACACTATAACGTCAGTAAAATCGATAATATTTAAAAATGGTCTAGGTCAGGTGTGCCCAAACTTAAACATGTGTGAAGTCTCAAAAATGTAGATTTAAAAATCGAAAGGATGCATTTAAATCCTGCCTATTCCTACGAGCAAAAATAAGTAACTATACCAATGCGTAATTAATTATCTATGCATAAATAAACCAATGTTAATTTAACGAAAATCCTTACCGAGACCACACATCTTGGCGCATTCGAAGCGACCAGGATTGTCATACGTCACACCGTTAGTACCACATACGGGATTGTACTCGGAAGTGGCAGGGCATCCGAGCAAGCACAGTCGAATCACCTCCATGGAAGGTGTCACGGGTGGAACTGCAGTAGTAGTGGTAGAACTGGTCCCACCATCCGTAGGACATCTGGATGCCCTTATAATTGAAACATCTGAAAAACATAAAGAAAAAAAAAATATAAAACAAAAGTATGCTCATAACCTAAGAGCAGTAACCTAAATTAAAAAAAACGTATAACAAACCGACGAGTATAGAGACAGAGATAGCGGGATATTAAGGAGGGTAGTGAGAAATAGCAGAGGAGATAAAGGATTAGGGTTCGTCGAGCACCAGTAGACATACTAGGGATTTTTTTAAACCTCTGTAGTTGAAGTTGCTCTTAAAGCAAGGTTAAGTATAAAGTCACTGGAAAACTGTTTCATAGTATTTTATTGGAAACCGAGATTACGTCGAAATAAAACAATAAAAAGACCTCTTAAAAATTAAGTTGTTTTAAAGAGGTAAACTAGTACATGAACGAAATGCTTGATTCATAGAAATAAGTAAGTGAGGTCACATCGGAACTGATAGTCATTCTTTGAAATAACCGGAACTAATATTACAAGTAACCAAAACAGCCTTCGACGCAGGATGTATTTCCCCGATTTTTGCAATACTAGTGTGACTTCAACTTTCTAGCGATTACATATTATTATTCCGCAGACGGTGTTTTTAGTTTAGAGACGCCCAATTATCGATAATTGACTTTGCCTTAACTTTTTTCTATTTTGGTTGTGGTACTTCTTCCTTTTATTATTTTTTCTTTTAGTTCAGTATGTTTCGAACCTTCGTTGTTGTTTGTGATCTTGTCAGTATACATCTCTTAGGCTAAACTTATATTTAGCGAAAAAGAGGTTTAACTGACTACTCTACCTTTCTTGTATTAATTACTAACTTTTTGTATTACACATATACTCGTATCAAGCCAATTGTCTGGAAGTGGCCTTCCTTCCGTTTTTATCTTAAAAACGAGTCTTAATTAATCCAATTGTAACTTAAAGATTTTCAGATAATGATCTAGGTAATAGAGTGGCATTAAAACTTCATTTGACATATGAGAATATTGTGTGGAGCCGATACTGTTGTAAGAGAACGTAAGTTTTAAAATTCTGCGTCCCATAACTCGGATTGTACCTACTTAAAAAGCTAATATGTATAATGAAATTGATGGATCGTTTTATGGTAAGCGATCACCATAGTCTATTATTGTGACGCTAGTGACTTTAAACGTACAGGTTGCAGGATATCCATCATGACAATTGTACAGGTTAGTAAACCAGTACACCATAGACGTTGAAGATGATGTTAGATAGTTGCAGTATGTCGAGTTATGTAAGTAAGATAGTCCACTAATACTTTAACACTTTATAACGTAAAATGGTACAACATATACTACGCTAACGATTCTCTCCCTAATAGTTAACTCATCTGATGTTGTGACGTTCTACCTTTATGGGTAAGAATAACGTAAATATAAATGACTGCGGGCAGCGTATGTAGGTGAACGCTGCGTAAGCTATATCTGTACGGTAAACAGTACAACGATAGTGGTCCTAAATCGCAGGAGATTTTAAATCGCCTAAATCTAGAATATATTTCGATGAATTTTGGTTTTATAAGGAGGGAAGGACTTATATCTTTGTCGCCTGAATTAAACTTGAAATGGCTGATTGGAGGATGAATTATCGGAAACTATAAGTAAGGTCGAGTAAGTAATTATCGGAAACTAAGTAGGGTCGAGTGGGGGACAGTGTAACAAAGGGCACGAATATAGCCTTTTCTTATTTTTCTATGGTCTGTCTTGTCGTGGTTTTATTAGTTTCATAAGCCGCCATCTTAAGCAGCTGTCATCAGGCGTCAAATGGCCGTTAATAACACAGCGATGTTCCTTATGGTAACACTGTGCCCCTTGTAACACTAAACCCCACTTGTGTCCCTACTTATAAGCGGATACCCACGATTAATATTTTCCTAATATAAACTTTCATACCTAATAGAAAAATCCTCATTAAAAACAGAAATAGTACTTACCAACTCCACACATCCTTGCGCATTCGAATCGACCAGGATTGTCGTATGTCACACCGTCGCTGCCACACACAGGATTGTACTCCGAGGTGACAGGACAGTTACGAATGCACGTTCGTAAATTCGGTGTTACAGGCGGTGATGTGGGCACAGTGGGTGGAGTCATGGTAACGGTCGTTTCAATAACTAATTCCCCACACTTATTAAGTGCTTTGAAATCCACATCTGCAACAGAGTTCGAATATTTTGAATAGGGTACGCGTGTTTTGATACACCATCTTTTTACAGGTACGCCAATTGCTGATTACAGCATATATCTTTAGTAGCATTAAGCAATAAATTGAAGGCCAGTTTAATGACAGCATACTAACCTCACCGAAGTATGTGCTTCGGTGAGAATCTATGATTCATGGAATTAATGGAATCATTTAGCAGTTTTTGCCAGCGATTTTACTAACAATACTTGTCAAACATTATTGTTGTTGAGTATGATTTGATACTTTATTTTGATTTATCAAGTCGTTTAAGCGAAATTTATGTTGATAGATTATTTTGATAAAGCTGATAAAGGTGACATTTAATTTTATAGAATCGTATGATAATTGAAAATGCATCTCAATCTTACCAAGTCCACACGATTTTGCACAAATCAATGTGCCAGCATTTTTGTAAGTCACGTCATTGGTCCCACATACGGGTGAGTATAGCGATGTTTTAGGACATCTCTTCATGCAAATGTCAAAACTTGGCATCTCTGTGCTCGAAAGTGTTGTCATTAACGTTGATGGAGTTGTAGATTTCTCAGTGACGGATGTAGATGTGGATGTTGTGGTTGATTTAGTCGGTGGTCTGTGTACAAATTGAATTTCCAGTATCAAAAAATTCAGTTTGTTTTTGTTATGTAAAAACAGTGGCAAACAAGCGTATGGTCGGTCTGACGGTCGGTAACCGGCCACCATAGCCTAAAAATAGACGCTTGCAAACAACGATATTAAATTGCTTGCAATACCAAAAATATCACTCGCACCGTTGCCTACTCTGCGACCCTGACGCAATCCCCTACCCCGTGGATCCCTGGAATCTTACTCACCGTCAGTAACACAATACCACCAATAGGTAATGTTATTTTACTGTCATCTGCTGTAATGTGAAGGTTATTTCCCCAGACGGGCACTCCAATTCGAGTGACAAAACCGCTATGCAATACCTCTCATGTTTGTTTGTAGGAAGTAATTTCTCGAACTACTGAACCAATTTTGAAATTCCTTCAAGAGTGTTTACAATTCGAATATAAATAAATTGTGTAACATCCCAAGTTTAGAATAGGGATGTTGACGGGAACTAATATGGTTAATTGACTAGTGATCATCCCTGGTTGTAGATCCTTATTTGTGTTACTTTTTGTCCTTAAAAGATTTCATTTCATAGTTGCTAAAGAGATTAGTAGTGTGACACTGTCACTGTTCTTTAACTTTCCGGTTATACAAGATGTGATCTAGATGTGGTATCGTCGATATATAGTATCTGTAGTATACATATTGGGCCAAAATTACAGTAATTTCAGCACTAAAGATCTTAACGGTACGTAAACCACGTATTGTATCGCGGTATTGTTTGTATGAATTTAGAACTAGTAACTAGGTGTAACTGTACAAAAATATTAATACATATCCTCAATATTTCTATATTTAAGTCATTGCCAAAACAAAAGCTACTATAAGTAAGACCTACCTAGCAACGTAATTTTTAAACGGTAAATACATTAAAATACCGCAAATGGGGCCGTGACGTGCATTAGATATATTTTGGTGTGTTGACATAATACGTATATATATCTCACCTTCTTGCACACTTGTACGCTTTGCCAGAGATGCATAAGGGCGTATTTTGAAATCTGGCAGCCAGAGCCTTTACAATATTCACCCCCCTCCCCTCCTATAACCAGTATTCAAATCAAAATATGGATCAGTAGCGAATACTTTTATATGGTTTTTGCCGCCCCTCGCAGCTCTTCCAGCTGCCCCTCACCGCCTGCCGCCTCGGGCTATGGGCCTCTTGGGCCTATGGTAAATATGCTCCCTTTTTTGTCTGGGAAATGCCTTACGCATCCTCAACCACCGGGGAAGCGAGAAGAAGGTATGTGGGACTCCTCCCTGCTAATTTCAGCCAGCCCTTGGGCCGAACAGGGCTACTAAAAGTCAGACTATACTCCTGCACCGGTCACCCAACACGCATTGTGAGGACCCAGGTCCCCCCAATGCGTGCCGGGAGTGCGGTTATGGTCGCGGCAAACCGTTTCCGACTGGCCGCGCACAGGATAAATACGCTGCTGGATGCATGGCGAAATTTGACAATTAGTAACTTACCTTGGAGTTTTAGTTTGACGCCCATCCTTGTCCTTGGAGCCGTTTTCTCCCCAACCGCAATGTCCCCGATGCGGGTTATGGAAGTCATGGTGTGGGGGATGGAATTTATGGGTTCCTTTAGACCCAAAATGATACAATCCAAGTGGTCGGTCACTATCATAATAATCACTCTGTGGGCTAACCCATAGCGACGCTGCATTTATGGCCATCTCAATCACTAAAAAGTGAATTAAATCAAATTACCTATTGCAAACTTTTAATAACTTTATGAAGTAGTAGCCGCCCGCTACTTCGTCTACGTTAACTATAGTTTTTTGAGTATCCTACAGGAATAATCAGGTCTTAATTCAGGTTATAAACTATATGGGTACGCATATAGTTTTCCTCTTAATATGTTCAGTATTTTTTGCGTGATTGAGTAATAAACACACAAACTTTCGCATTTATAATATTAGTAGGAAGTAGGATAATTTGTTGCTTATACCTACTAGTTTATACATTACTAGTTTAAAAAAACACGATTTTTCTTTAAATGAAAAATATCAAGCTTACATAATAAATCAAATAAATTCGGAAATCATTTAGAACAAAAGGATTCGTTCATTTATAAGTTATTCTTAAAAATAATTGCTTAATTAAATAATAAACTCTTATAAAAAGTTATTAACTTAAAGATCAATGTTGTTTTTCCTTAGTTTTTCAGTATAAAAATTATGATCTCGTTGAATAAAAATATTTTGTAACTCGCAATTATATTAATTATATAGACCTGTCATACAATATGAAGTCATACACGTTTATAAACCTTGGATTCACTAATTGGTGAATAATAGCTAAGTATTTGTATATTTCCTTAATATCAACTAAATACAACGGGAAAATTGATAGTTACTAAAACAAAAAATATTAGGTTACTTACCCAAAAACAAAGTCCAGTACATATTCATATTCTCGTATATACTCGGTTCACTTCTTATTTAAATACGAACGTTTTTTTGACTAGAAACTTTGAGCGTCTGTAACAGCCGCGTAAACGATTCGAAATGTTACCTCGTGTCACTGCATTGTGTGTAAATTGTTCGTAAAAATCCCCCACTCGCTTCCTTGGAGGGAAAACCCGTTTTTAAATCAGTTCAGTTAGATGTTATGATTGGTTAATTAATTTTAAATTGTACTCATACTCGATTTAGATTGGAATTAAATTTTGAACGGTATACAGTATACACATATATAATAATATAGGTTTACTAAAGTAAATAAAATCCTCCGTTTTAAAGCGTAATTATACTTGTTAAGTTTAACTAAGTAACAAGGTTAAGGCTTTCTCTCGTCCTTATTCCACGAGCATGAAGTTTAAGGACAAAAATATAAAATTACTGTACAGATTTGTCGATAAGCAGAGTTTCAGTAGTTGTGTACGAGTGGCAATATTTGTTTATTTTTTACTAAGCATTAAAGTTCGCTGGACTATGATCGCGCCTGATATATTTAAGTAGCCCTCTAACTGTCTAAATTAAACTATTCCTAATTAATTTTGTTAATTGACTAATTTTCCTATCAGTTACCCAACCAGTTTGGCATTTGAAAGATCTTTACAAAGTGAATATTTTTGTAATTCTTTATTAAAATTTGGAAATTGAAGTTTGAAATAACTTTCTAAAGAGAATTGGTGAAGTTTGAAATAGACGCATTTTCTTCACCTTCTTTTTATATATCGGTCATGGCCATCGTTTTGAGGATTTCGAAAGGAATAAGACAATTAGATACTTGCTGCCCTGAAACAAGCAAACTTAAACCTATTCAATCTTTCCCGAAGAATAGAAGCAGACTTTATACCTACATACGATTTTTTATTATGATTTTATTGTTACTTTATTCAAATTTACTTCTTGAAAACTCTTACTAATCGTCCAATATTTTTTCCTACTCCTATCTTCCTTTACAGGACATCTTTTACCTGATGCGAAGAGTGGGCGTAAGTAACTCATCATGATGTAACAGAAGTAGCAACATTTACAAAAAATCATGTCGTTACCAATACAACGTCCACTCACATTTTGATTACTATATCATACAGTATAAATACAACAGTGTTTATATTAGGTATAATAGAGGACATCTCAATAGTAAAGCAGTATAAAGCAGACTCATCCCCGCTGGCAGCACCCGTTCACGAGCATGACGCATGAAACAGCCATTGCTTTGCTGAACCATATTTTAGGGAACGTAACGACCCGCGTCGCACGACCGAAGAGATTTTTAAGAGAGCATGGCTACTCATATCCACCTATACTAAACTGCAACATAATATATATAATTAAAGTCGTTCATCTATAGGACACTGCAAACAATTACTAAAATAAAGTTAATGCAGGAGACGGCTCACAAATAAATCGGTAGTAATATTAAACTATCTTACACAAATAACATAATTGAATAATTAAACTAAACATAATAATACCGTATCATACGGTACAAATACAAAATGCAATACCAAATAAAAAAAGTTATATCCAAATAAATATAATAATATAGTACAGAGCAGAGTCATCCCCACTGGCAGCACCCGTTCACTGGCATGACGTATGAACCAGCCATTGCGCTTCGCTCAACCATGTTTTGGGGAACGTAACAACTTGCATCACACGACACCACCGCAGAGACTTTACAGAGAGCATGTCGGCCTATTCTTATATATTGTGTTATTAGTTATTAGGGGGTCAAAAACTAGCGAAAATAGTCTTACGTAATAAATGAGTGGCACCCATGACTACTCTTATTACGTATATGTACTAATAAAATAACAAAACAAAAAAAATAAGTATATGAGACAGATAAAAATTATAACTATATGAGACAGCTTATTTACAGTTTTTTATATTTAATAAAAGAGAATAATAATCACACTCAGTGCATTGTTAACAAATTATAGCAAAGTCTATTATTTCCAAGCATAACGATCCTTTAAATAGTCTTCCACTTTGTAATAACCTTTACTCATTCACTCACTCATTAGGGTCTTCATCACATGTGATTTAAATTTAGTGTGAGGAATTCCGATTAAATCTTGTGGAATTTTGATGAATAGTGCAACACTACTACCTAGAAATGAACCCCTCGACTTTTGAAGCCTGGAACGGCAAGTTCGTCCTTATTTCTAATATAAAATCATGAACGGTACTTCTATTTGCTAAAGTTTTATATTTTTTCTTACGAACACGATATTTTCATAGTTTAATTGAGATGCAAGTGTTAAGATACATTTTTTTTTTAATATTTCGCTAAGCAATGCTCGTGGCTGCTAATATCGAAAATATTGTTATATTATAAAAGAGAGCTTCTTTTGTAATATAACAATATTTTCGATATTAGCAGCTGATCCCCACAACAAGGCCATATGTCATTATACTATGAAAGTAGCTGAAGTAAACCAATTTTGCCGTTTCTATATCAGTCAGAAGTCTGATTTTCTTAACCAAGAAAGCTGCCGAACTTTATCTATTTGATAAGGCATCATTATGAGGATCACATTGCAATCGAGAATCTAAAGTGATGCCCAAAACTTTGTGGAATCTACTTAAACAACTGTCTCATTACTAACAATTATATTGGTATTAACACTTCTTACATTAGCCTACCTAGTGAATTTCACACATTTGGTTTTATTTAAGTTTAATTTTAAATTATTTACTGTAAACCAATGTAAAACTTTAGAGAGAGCACTATTCATATCCTCATAACATACATTACCACGTTATCTCTAAGCAAAGAAGTGTTTTCAGCAAATATTACTTTCTCACATAAATTCCTGGTAAAGTGAGGAAGGTCATTTATGTGGAAAAGGAAAAGCAATGGTTCTAATATTGATCCCTGGGGCACGCCCATGGGGATGGGTGCTCCTGCAGACTCTGCCTAACAACTTTCTGAGATCTTGCTGAAAGATAGGACTGTATCAGACTTAGTGATATGTTTGAGACACCAAATTTCTTCAATAACGTTTCATGGCTAACGCAATCGAATGCTTTTGATAGGTCACAAAAAGACAAATAGCATCATGCTGATATCAAAAATGTGCTTGAGAAATGCAATTCCAGCGTTTGTAGTACATTTGCCCTTAGTAAAACCAAATTGTTTTAAATTAATAGTTTATTTATTGAATATGGTATTAGGAGTCTTTTACTTGAAACAAAAAAGTGGGATACCTACAAGTTTGCGCACTATTTAATGACATCTGCAATATTATTCTATAAGAACAAACTTACAGTAGGGAACACGAGAACGTACGGGCCATGATTCCTAGATGCACCATCAGGTGATAGTAGGAATTTCGAAATTGCAATGTCAACCCGATGCATTTGGATGCATTTGCCTCAGAATGCAGTTGAATTTTTTCACCACAAACGATGGTCGCTAGCCTCCTGGCATGCTTCTAGATAAGGTCTAGGCATGAATCTCTACAAAAGACTCTCAGGTGTTGCAGAAAGGTAAGAAGATAAACGCGGCAGAGCTAACGAGCCCCTTGGCGCGCAACCTAGTAACGTAACGTCGACCTTAAGGCTAGCGTCAGCGTCTAAATAACAATCTACCGTACCTGAGCAAGGCTTACTGCGCTCAGACGGTCAGACCTCTGCTAAAAATATTACTTCATCTTAAAACCTTTGTGACCTCTACTCAGCTCATAAGACGTTTTCCTTGTATGCGTATGTGTGCGTGTGTTCATGTGTCGCATACGTACACGAGTGTGACGTCGGTCAAGATGACCGAACATGGAGTGAACAATCTACCGTACCTGAGCAAGGCTTACCTGCGCTCAGACGGTCAGACCTCTGCTAAAAATATTACTTCATCTTAAAACCTTTGTGACCTCTACTCAGCTCATAAAGTCGTTTTCCTTGTTTGCGTATGTGTGCGTGTGTTCATGTGTCGCATACGTACACGAGTGTGACGTCGGTCTTACGCGATCTCCGTATGCTGTAATGTGCAGCGATGCCCGAGACGCACCAATGTTATATGAAGGATAAACATTATGCAACCTCTGTCGGCCGGGTCACCATCCTGTTCGGACGGCGAGAATAAGGCAGCAAGTGACACGTTGGTGAAAACCTCTGTCACGTCTCTTATTCTGTGACCATGGCAACCGAACACGTTATCTCGGGATTTACAATAACTACCAGGGCTAGTTGGTACGTGAATTCCAGTGTAATTATTACCTCTTAGCCGGATAACGTAATTGTAACAGTCCTGTTACCACATGAGGATAACGGTAACGAAACAGTATGTATCGCCATTTATTAATGTTACTGCTTTACCACAATTATGTCATTGGGAATTCAAGGGAGTTTACGCCAGTGTGCGCCATTTGTGGTTGATTAAAAAGAATCGTCACATCCACGTTGTTATGCGCAGCTCCGAAACCCATCATGGCAGAACTTTCAGGCTGTATTATAAAAAGTTGAACAATCCGTTGCTAGCTGAACTTTTTGTATGTTGCGGACGTGGTCTCTGATGGGCTCAAGCCGCCGTTGATACGCCTGAGCAGAAATACGTGGTTTTTTCTTCAAAGATAGCACAGTCGCCGCACCTCATTCTATTGTGTGACCACGAGCTCTATGCGGCGTTGGAGAGTCACGTGCGCCGCGGTCTTATCGGTAGCTCGATGGTGCGGCCGAGTAGACACGGAGCACCTGATAGGCGTGCAAGTTTCTGCTTGTACGGAGTTTGAAAAAGTTAGCATGTCAAAACTTTGTACTCTGCAAACGTATTGGCCACCTTAGGCACAAATTCTACTCCAGTTTGCAAACAAACAACATGTCGTTATTAATTTAATTATGGCGTAAAAATGGATGACCGCGTTGACCGCGGAATTTACAAAAATACTTATCGCACATTCCAATAATAATTACACCAATATTTCTAACAGATGACGCAAAAATATATTATCCGATCGCAATTTCCCCATTATCGATTAAATTTATTTCAGGATTATTCTCTTTTTATTTTTCCTCAAATTGCGTCATGAGTTTATCAATTGCAGTGCCTAACTTACGGCAACTCGTATCAGCGGGCCACTATATAACGCCCTTAGGTCCCTCCTGATTTTTATAAGCTCATCGACAGCCGCTCCGTAAACACGTCCTTCCAGAGCAACACCGTGACCCCCGCCGATATCAACGTCGACTTTCTATGTAAGTATCCAGTATTTATTTTAATGACTTTATGCATTTTTATGTACTCCTGCGCATTCCTTTCAGGGAAGGCGGACCTTTTTAACGTCTGACTTTAATATTTTTTTCTTTTTCATTTACAGTTACGCCATCGTGGATCTCAAAGCTCTCCAGAATGAACAGTTTGCTGGTCTTGATGACTTTGGTCCTGATTGCGGACGCGAGGCCAGAACCTATGCCGGTGTTGCCCTGTCGCCCGCAAGACGTGAGTATATCATTTCTACAAACTGATATCACATCCAAGTTTCTTTATAGTGTTGCAACTTCTGAGCAAAGAGTTTAGCGCGTGACCCAACCCTCCGGAACGTTTTGTAAAAGCTTCAACGAAATTAATGTCAATTTTTCAATTTACAGTTCACCGATCCCACGAGGTCCCGCTGCCGATTCGGGCTCCCGGAAGGTGAACACCACGTCGTCAAGAAATCCCGGGTCTTGGGGACCCGAATTGGATTTCTCAGTGGCCCGGACCTGAACACATACTGGTAGTTTTAAACTCCATGAATAGGCTGGACAGTGTTTAAGATGTCGGTTGTGTTTGATCTGTAAACCGTGCGGTTTATAATTTTGCTTATTGTAATGCTTTGTTTTTTTTTGTACTTTTCTAAATAAAGATTATATTGTGCAATACTTGTTGGTATCATTGACATGGAGTAAGCTGACGCGACAATGCGTCTAGTAGGTATCCCAACTCACGTATACACCTGATAGGTCACCATCAGTCCGTTAGCAGGCTGCAGGCGCGTTCAGGGAGTCGCTATCTGCGCTGTAAACACAAACGCTACCAGCGTTTAGGTA